GAATGGACATTTTGGTTATGGAAAAGCAGCCCTCAGAGTTTGCTCAAGGTGAGCAGGGAGAAACCATGAGAAAGCTGAACTAACGGACGTGAGAGGGAAGAGAAATCATGATCTTCTGGTACAGCCCTACAAATGACACATAATAAAAGAATTCTGAAGAGGTGGGCACCAGGGCAGGAAGCCAAAAGATAAAAGGAGGAAATTCTGTTCAGGGAGAAATTGCCTATGGCAACCAAATTGCTGGAAAGAATCAGGTGGCCAAATATTCCATCTCACATCATCATTTATTGTTTAGTCATCTAAGCCTCTCACTGCCCGAAAATCTTCCATAAAAGTCAATGCTCAGAAGCCCTACTGGAGAAGTATTGAAAGATGAGGAGAAGTACCTGAATGCCAGTCTTGGTTACTTAGCTACTTTCCTCATTGCTGAGCCAAAATTTCTGACACCCAAATTTAAAAGGGGAAAAGTTTATTTAGTTCACAGTTTGTAGAGGCTTCAGTCTATAATCCGCTGGCTCCAAGGCAGGGTGGCACGTGGCAGAGGGACAACAGTCATGGCAGATGAAGGTAGCAAAGCAACAAAAGACTTTAGTGGTGTCTTTCTGCCCCTTTCATCTTATCTAGACTACTGAGATTAGGACAATGTCAAACCAATCACTGTGCTGGTTTAGTAATCACACCCTCTTAATCCCAGCATCACACATTCTAGATTCAGCCACCTCTGAAAAGCCACCTCTAACAGTTGCCAGTGTCCTAACAGTTTCAGCTTTGCTGAAAAGTACAAGTACAAAGTCTTTTCTGAGATGTAAGGAAAAATTCTTAGCTGCAAGTCCCTGTATAAATGAAAAGAAAGTTAAATAGTTCCAACATTCAGTTGCACAAGAGAGACATTTTCATCTCAAAGATTGCAAACAGGGAGAGAGCAAGGAACGAGAATGAAGAAAGACCAAAATCCAGTGGGGCAAACATTAAAATTCCATAGTTCCACTTCCAGCATCTCTGCGAATTTGTGGTAAGTTGTGAACTCCAAATGGCTTGAATGGCTCCACTCCTAAGCACTGCTGGTGTTTATGGCTCCCATGGCTTCTCTCTTGGGCCAGCTCAGCTCTCTCCTTGCAGTTCTCCTCAGATGGGGTCTGCACTCCACCTTTATCTTCATACTCAGAGCTTCACACACTGCCCTCTCAGGAGCGCACTGCCTGGCCTCCCAGGCCTTCTTCTGAAATCTGGATGAAGCCTTTCTGACCCTACAACTCTTTCATTCTGCATGAGCCTAAAACCAGCACCATGTGATTGACACCAGGGTCTCCTGCCAGCTGGAGCAGCAGCCAGGCTTCCTTCTCTCTTGGCTGTAGGGATCCAGTGCCTGTGAATCAAATCCTGAGGAAAACTTTGCTAGAACACTGCCACTCTGGAACATGGTACTGTGGGGCTCTCCTCTCAAAGCAAAGTCTTTCACTTTTGCAATTTCGAGGTTGCAAAGGGATTAGTCCTGCTGCTTCTTGTGATGTCATCAGGCCATCTTTTCTATTCTCCTGTTCCTTCTCAGCAATGAAGATCTCTGCTCTATGTTTGCAAGCTATAAGTTTGCAGAGCTTCCTTTCTGGCAAAACTCAAAATGTTTTCAATCATTCTGCTGGGCTCTTTGCTCTTGATTCTCCACATACATATGGCTAAAATCTCCCAAAAGTAACCATGCCACGGCCTCAACATTAGACTGCCTTGATATTTCTTCTGCCAGATTAATTAGTCTGCCGCCCTTAATCTCAGTCTCAGGTAGTATCTAGACATGAGCAAAATGCAGACAACCCTTCTGCTAAGCCGTAACATACATTATCTGGAGTCCAATAGCTAATTCAGTCCTTCTTCCCAGAAGAAATGTCCTGAGCCTGAGCCTGGTCTTTACAGGCTTTCTGACCTCCTGAATTCTGATCAGATTCTCCCATCAAGTATAGCCTCAAGTGTTCAGCACTGCTTTTTCAGCCTGCACCTCTGATCCTTTCCAAACTCTTCCTGCAAGCCAGCTCCAAAGGCTCCTAAACCACAGGGTCAAGTACAGTCACAGCATGGACCCCATTTCTCTGGTACCAAATTTTGTCTCATTGCTGAGATAAAATTCCTGACACCCAAAGTTAAGAGGAGAAATGTTTATTTAGCTCACAGTTTATAGAGGCTTCATTCCATAATCAACTGGCTCCAATGCAGGGTGGCACATGGCAGAAGGGCAACAGTTCATGGCATACTGACGGTAGCAAAGTAACAAAGGATCTTAACAATGTCTTTATTCTCCTTTTATCTTATCCAGACTACCGGATAAGGGCAGTGCCAAGCCAATCAGTGTACTGGTGTAATAATCACACACCTTTAATTCCAGCATCACACATTCTAGAGGCGTGAAGCTTGGGGAGACATCTAGACCCAAACCACAGCAATTCCTCACTGGAGTATCGCAGGACTTAGAGAGCAGACCCTGGGCGAGAGTTCAGCAGAAGAAATATCCCCAAATCAGCAACTAGAATGAAGGCTGTGTATAAAAACACAGTTGGGGAGTGGTCCACAGAAATACTGAGGAGGGCAAAGGCTTGCAATTTGGCATTAAAGCACCATTGTTTAAATCTCAAGAAAAAAATCCAGCTAACATCTGGCTCTGTGCATAATAAGACATCCTCCGTAGGTGTAACTCTAAAAGCTCAGAAGTAAATGCCTATATAGAGCTCTTGGTTCATCTTTCTTTCACTTGATCATCACAATTTCTTTCATCTTGATTATCATTTTTGGACATCTGAGTGCCTTTATCAAATTTTTTCAATTATAGAGACACATGGGACAACTCAGAATTATTTTTCTTTTCTACCATCTCAGGGAAGGGATCTTATAGGGATGTCTCAGTTTCCTAATTCTGCACGAGTTTGCACAGCTAAGAACATTGAAGGAAAAAATATTGCTTTGTGCTCATTCTGTAATTGCCATGTATTTGAAAGTCTGTATTTGTGCTCCTTAATCCAGTGAGCTCAAATGTGTATGATTATAAATATTTCTGGAGTGATTGAATTTATTCCACAATCTATTTTTTGAAAACAACTAAACTCTTCTTGTAACTGAATGCAATGTTTTTCCGTTGTATTTTTAATGTTTTCACAAAAATTAAGTATTGATTCATTACAGTAACAAATTTACACGGAACATTACTATTTCCACAATAACGACTTCAGAGTGGTTTTACTTGGTTGGACAACTGGATGGTTTCAGAGGAAGAGCTATACCTTGACTGTAACAAGAGCTTGGAGAGTTTCTTTCTGAGATAGGGATGTGGCTCAGTTATAGAGCACTTGCCTATGCAAGGTCCTCTCCTCAGTAATGCAATTAAAAAATAGTTTCCTCCTTTTAAGAAATTCTTCTCAGTGAATAGAGTAGTTGAGTAATGAGTCGTCAGGAACATGAAAGAAAGGCCAGTGTGTTTTCTTTATGTTTAAAAAAACAAAGTCAGAGCTAAGAGAAACCAGCTATGGGAGTCTTTGCAGTTATTACGCTGTGTCTCTTTTATTGTCTCTGGGAAAACTACAAGAAAGAGAAGCAATGATTTGACATTAGTGCTGAAAATGTCTGTGATTGTGCTTTGGTGTGTTTGAGAAATCAGCAAGTCTACCTTGCAATGTAGTGTCTTTCAATTTGGAAAGGACATGACAAGGTGGAGCGAACTGGTAGTCCCCTTGTTAACTGCACTGCAGTTTTCCTGAAGCTGTCGATTTGCCAACCTGCTGTCATCTGCCCCTTTCATTTATTGGTATTGCTTACTGTTTATTGCTAGGGAATGTTAATACTCATTCCAACCAAGTACTTCAAATTTGAAGCAGAAATAATATGAACCAGAGTCTAGGGGACACCAGCCTATGGAAATGTGCTTCAGGATGGAGGCATCAAAACTTCTAGGCAAATACAGTTGTTCTGTCCATCACTTAGCACTTTAGGGCTGCAAGTGATGTCAGAGAGCATCCCAGTGCCACGAAAGCCCTTCTCAGAGGCCGCAGGAACAGCTGTGTCATGGGTGGCCAAACCCAATAACCCAGCTCGCCAGCGTCTAACCCTTCACTTTTTTTTTCCTACTACTACTAATAGTTACAATAATAATAGTAATTGCAGCCTATTTTCCATAGCGTCTATTGTGTGCTAAGTACCATTCTGAGCAGTTTACCAGTGTTACACTATTTAACCCAATACCCACTGCCATGACTTAGACTCATATTATTCAAGTGAACAATCTGAGACCGAGTGTGGGAAAGCAGCTTGTTCAATCTCAAAAATGACGGAAAGGCTGAGCTTCCTCTTCCAAGGAAAGTGAGTATTTCCCTACCATCATTCTTCCTCTTCCTCCCCCGCTCCCAGAGAAACATCTGCCCAGAAGAGCCGCTCCTCCTAGTTTCCCTAGCACTAAGATCGTGCAGTGAATCACTAAATTCTGATTGGCATACATGTTTCCCCTATCAGAGCACAGTATTCAGTAATGAATCCAGTACCCACAGTCTCTTTCACTATAGTTGAAAGAAACAAGTAATGCTTGTTTGTCCTCATTCTTTATAATATGTCTGTTTCTTAAAATGCTTTAAGCAATTTGATTTCTAAGAGGAACTTCATTCCCTCCAGTTTTCCTCCTTTAGTTCTGTGTGAAAATAATATAGATAGATATGTAGAGATGCAGATACATGAAATAACAGGAGTTAGAAAGTTGATTTAATTGTGAGCTGACTCTTCACCAGCTCCGATAAATCACTTGCCAGATTGACTATCGAACCCCACACCAGAAACAGTGTGTACAAAGCCACGGGCTGACTGTGGCACACTCCTTGCGGTTAGAGAAACTGTCTGTTGTCAATAAGCCACCCAACAGTTGCCTGGGGCTGTCTTATTTCTTTTACTTTTCTCTTTTCAGCTTCCGGTGGAACTAAAACCACCCTTTGAGCATAAAAGTCAATGGATGACGTGTTTCTTTTTCTGCTGCACAGAACCTGAAGCGGGTGGCTGAGACGTGGATGGACGAATTTGCAGAGTACATTTACCAGCGGCGGCCGGAGTACCGGCACCTCTCCACTGGGGACATCTCGGCCCAGAAAGAGCTTCGCAAACAGCTGAAGTGCAAGGACTTCAAATGGTTCATGGCTGCGGTAGCCTGGGACGTGCCTAAGTACTACCCTCCGGTGGAGCCCCCACCTGCCGCCTGGGGGGAGGTGAGCCTGTGCAACTCCGGCGGCCCCAGGCAGTGGGAGGGACAACTGAGCTTCGCTCCTTTCCCCCTGCAGCCGAGCAGGAGTCATTGGAATCACCTCAGAGAAATGAATGTCCCACGTCTTTCCGGCAATTATAACAGATAAGAATTCAGCCCTCCATGTCAATAGGCTAACCCTGAACTATTGACGACGGGTAACCCCTCAAATGGATTTCTTTAAATGCACCTGGAAAATATTTTTACTTGAAATTAGTGAAACTGCCATGGGAGCTTGAACAGTATGAAAAGATCAGTTGTGCTACTGTGTAAATAAGAGTGCTGAGAGCAACGTGCAGGATGAAATCCCTCTCCGACCGGTGCACGGCCCTTTTGCTGTTTACGCAGACATACGCATGGCGACAGGGGAGGGCTGGCTAACAAGCGCGTGGCATGTAGAGTCCTAAAGAAAGTTACTCCTTAGCACACGGGTGACCCTTTAAATCAGCACTGACCTTCCCACCTTGAAATGCTATTTGACTCCACTTCAGCAACTAAAATGTAAAGAACAAAATAGCCCCAGGTTCCAAATTTAAAACATCTATCCTTGGGCATAAAAAGGACTGTTACACAGGTTTTGCTCCACTCAGTGGTGTTACTGTAGCTTTTTCCCTGTGGAAAAGAGTGTGCTAAAGTAAAAATAGGGTGGATTTACTGTAGCAATTTAACCTGCTTTTAGGCTGTGGATATCGAGGGGAAATTCAGGCAGGGATGGATATAGCAAGATAGCACATTTCTCCTGCCTCCCAGTTGACCACCAGGCCTTTTGAGGAGCTTTTCTGTCATTGTCCTGGCTTTGTGAGGTAGGTGAGAAGATGCTGTTGCTTAATTAGGGTCGGTGGCCCCAGAGCTGTGACAAAAAGCTGTCTTTGGAGTGTGGGAGGAGATGCCAGAGCTCCCAACGACCCTTCCTGGGTGAGTGGGAGGGTTCAGTGAGTCACAGCTCTGTGCAGCTTGTTTTGCTGAGAGGGTCCAAGAAGATACTGCTCTTTTCCTGAACCTGCACATCCCAGTGATACAGGAGAGAGTCGAGGCTTTCACTATACATTCTATCTCCCCATGTTTTGGGTCTGTATTTGTGGCCCTGACATGGTCGGCTTATTTGACCTCATCCTTTACCTCCTAAACATTTCATTAAGACCTCCCTGAGCTCAGCGATGGTTCTCTGGTTGTACTTTTTACCTATCTATCTTGAGCTTAATGTACAGCAGGGGAAATTCAAAGCTGACACTAAGCTTTCTCAGCTCAACACACTGACGGGCACACCAAGTTGTTTTATTTCTAAGTAGAGGGTTCCTTCCTGAAGTTTCGGGTTTTGGCTACAAGTCTGTCTGTCAGCTTTCTATGATGTCTTAAATGCTGTCCTGCCAAATAACTGTGAAGAACCCACAGTACCACTGTGCAATTCAATGCTAGGTTAAGATTTCATCAATTTTCTTTTTTGCCTTATGTGAAAACATAAATTTTGTTCCTATCTGCTTACTACTTCAAACTATATTCCCCTATATTCCTTTTTACCTAACTAATCCATAACATGTATTTATAAGGAAACAGGCTCATTTATTTGGAAACAGGCTCAAAGTTTCCACTGAGACTCTAGAAAAGTGAAGAGTTTCCAGAAATAGTCAAAATAAGAACCATTTTAAGACCCAATAGAGTGGGCCTGTGTTTCCAGTCATTACACTTTATTGCCTTATGTGTATGTCACTTACCTGGTCCCTAGAGACATATGCATTCATCATTTCAGGCTTAAACAATCAGATTTTTTTTTTTAGCATAGTGGTTTATTCTTTCCCCAAAGCTTCAAAACAGTAAACTATTAAAGGTCAGATTTTAGTATAAAAAAGAACAAAATATATAGAGAGTTTAAGGGTAGATTTCATTCAATCAAGTTTATTCAGTGAAAATGTGGGTGGTTAGCAAGAATGAAAACAGAAGATAGGAGAAAGGCGAAAAAGAAAGAAAAGCAACAAATGGTAATAATGTCCTGATGGTAATAATTGTCCTGGTAAATAATTCTGAAGCAAATCCATTGGGGTGGAATCCACCTATTTTAGAGAGAAGTAGAATGTGTGCATTTAATCCCAGAGCCAGGTGAAAAATTTGAAATTCAGCGTAAGCTAAATAAAGGGGTGAGAAAGGGCAGCGATTTTCTATTTGTATAGTGTTAGAAAATAACAACCCAGTTCTTAATGTAGTAGTGGATTTAAAAGATGATTAAATACAGAACGTATCTGTAGGCCAATTTAATCTCTGAAAAGAACGCTTTCAAATTGTACACACTTGTGTGATTATTTTTCTCTTTCAGGGGCTTTTTTTATATTACTTTTTTTACTTCAGAAGAATTTTTAATTTATAGGAATATTCCATAGATAGGACAGGTAGTTCACATATATCCTTCAGCTGGCTGCTTCTAGAGTTGACATTTCATATTTACCTCATTGATTAAGTATATTTAGCAAGTGAAGTAGTTGACATAATTAACTATTGGTTACAAAACTATTCACTACGTATGGTCTTTATACAGATTCCCTGAGTTTCTTTTTTTTTCCTCCCTCTAATATCCCTTTTTTGCTCCAAGATCCAGTCCAGAATATGAGAAAGCTTTTTAATTTCCTATAAATTTTAATTTAATAGCTAGGACCAGGAAAAGCTCCTAAATAAGTACAATAGGTCATTGCTGTTTTAGTAAGAAAGCGTGGAGGGGAATGAAGATTGGGACTCTTCCTAGAAGTTATAAGAAGGACCCAAAGCTTCCAGCAACACAAACACAAGAAGCCTTTATGGGAGACCTGTGCCAAGCAGCAGGGCAACTTGCTGTTTTATACACTTGTACTTGGAATCGTGTCCCATCTGCTTTGCTGTGCCAGCCTGATTCTAAGTAAACAGTGAAGTACTTAGGCAATTTTTGGCTCTGGTATTTGGAACTCAGCTGGTAAAGGACATGTTACAGACTAAACAGCCTACAAACCGCCACTCATTTCCCTGACAAGTTCAGCTGGATTATTGTACTTATCTCCTAACTCCTCTCCCTGCTTCTGTCTTCCTCCCCTTCAGTTTATTCTCAAAATAGTCCTCTTAAAATGGGAGATCAGGCCAATCCTCCATTCAAGACCTCTCGAGAAATAAAAATCGAAGATGCTAAGTTATTTGAGCTTTGTCACATCTCTTTCATCTCTTACAAGCCCTGGTTTAATCTTCTGTAGATATACAGGCCTTGTTGCCATTGCTCAAACAGGCCAAGTGCAATCCCACCTCAGGGCCTTTGCATAGCCTGCTCCCACTACTTAGAATCTCCCAACCTCAGCAATCCTATCTGAGGCTCCTCTCAACACTTTCTTCAGGTTCCCATCACACGAAAACCCATCTTCATAGCAAAATCTTCCCAGCTAAGCTATCTAAACTATTTAAACTATTTAAGCTATCTGAACTAGTTATGTATGCATGTACACGCATATAAACCTCCCCATTCTTCCTTTATTTTCTCCCTTAGCATCTATCACTACATATCAAGCTATGTAATTTATCCATCATGTTTCATGTGCATCCTCTCCAATAGAAAGCATACTCCTTGACACCAAATTCTGTTGGCTTGCTGTGTTACTGCAACCAGTTTTTTGGCAAATTGAACAAACTTTTGGCTAATTCAGCAAATTTCTCTGGCAGCAAGGAATCGTGTCAGATGTACAGTACGTGTTCAGTAAATATTTCTTGGGTGACTGAAAGTTGAAGAAGTAGACGGTTCTGGCTCCCTGTTGTCCTGTCACCACTCACTGTTGTGTCCCCTGCCTGTGCATCTGTAATTCCACAGAGCACACGGAGCTCTTCTACCTCCACCCAGGAGGAGTTTCTGCACCTACCACTCATTCGCCATACAAAGTCCACCTCTTTGGAAAACTTGTCCAGGAGAACAGTAATCAGGCCCAGTGGTTGATTCTGATGGACTGTCAAGCCGATGTCCCAAAATACTCCGCTCTGTCATCCAAAGGGGAAGGAGGAGAAACTCCAAAGGTAAAAAGCTGCTGGTCCAATGATTTCCGAGCCCTATGCCAGATTCTACTCAAAAAAGGCAGCAGAGATGAAAGTTACGTTGAATAGAAAAGTACTCTCCAGAAGTCATTCCATCTTCTGGTGCACAGAAGTAGTGTGGGAATGGAGGAGACGCTGGGGCCCAAGGATGAAATAGGACTTTGAGCCTTGTAGTAAGTCAAGCATCCCTTAGCACTGCACACAAGAAAGTGCACTTCCAGGATGCTGTGTGGGACAGAGCGAGAACTACTGTAGAGTGGAAACTATTCTTAAACCACTCACATATGGAATGTCGTTTTCATGTCAAGATGCTAAATGAAAGAAACTGAATTTCCTATTATTTTTCTCCTTCATATCCCTTCCCCTCCTTAGAATTCATGAATTTGCTAAAGTCAATTTAGTACCCCTTTGTAGTTCAGAAAGAAAAGTTCTGCAGAATCCTAAATATCATGTGTAAAAAGGAATAAAAGATGTAAAATAGACAAAGGTGTCTTTCCCAAACAGTGCCAGAAATTCTTTTACAAAGTGTCTGCTTCTGTCCTCGATGTGCCAATTTCAGCACATCCATTTGTCACTTTGCAATTGTGCAAGACTTTTTAAAAACCTTCATTTTCAAATTTCATCTCAGTACCTAAGTACTTCAGCTGCTTATTTAAATTCTTTCCTCAAGATGAACGTCATCCTGGATCGTGAAATATTCACAAAGACAAGCACCCTGAATAATTCCAGTCTTCTGTTTCGGGCTGCTACTCTTGACTTCGTTAAACCTGCTCACTTTCTCTTTCTTCTAATGCTCTCACAGTGCACAGGCTTTTCAAATTACTCATATCAGCTTCTGTGAAAGACAGTTCAACACTGGGAGGTGCATTATCTAAAAGACCATCTCGCGATGTGAAGCTGCCACTTTCCAACACGGCCTGTCCGGCCGCTGTGATG